CTTGCCACGGTCTCCAACCCTCCTCCTTTCTCATCCGGGCTTGGGACCGGCCATGGCGGAGTTACATACAATTAAGTGAAATAAAAGCAGAATTTAAGGTGATAAAATTAAAAATTTATTTTATCGTCTAGTGAAGATCAAGATTTTCTGAGGGTCAAGTAAATATGTGATTTAATTCGGTGTAGGGCATACAAATATCGCAGGTTCATGACCACAAACCCACCCCTCACATTTTCTTGAAACTTAGGATGCATACATGAAGTTGAAAATAGTGAGGAAGGTCATTTTCTAATTCATTTTTTAAAATGTCTGAGGTACCTATTAAAGTGGATGATGTGTCTTCGGACCGAGTTTCAAGCAGATTGAGGCATTGGTTTGAAATTGAATTTTTTAAATAGTTTAGTTAAATAACTTCTTCTCTGAAACACACATTATCTGCTGCAGCAGGTCATTGTTCAATACTGACTGATCGTAAGTTTTCGACTGCGGTAACTGAACGCAAATGATATACCGTTTAGGGTTAAGTGCCATAAATTAATATGACATCATTTGATGAAAACTCTGAAAGATACAGTACAGTGTGAAAACTTAGTAACAACATAACACGCATACGAATAATATTAATTACGGCAGTAAGCAAGAGGATTGGGTCAGAATTTAAATTGCATTGCGTCCGTTTTAGAAAGACCTTAAAGGCTCTTTTTATTGGTTTTTCAACCAGTGAGGAAGAGACGCCACTTTGGTTGTTTTGGCCATACAGGGCACAATTAATAGGTATTATTTGGTGACTGCTTCTGAACAAATGTACTTACATTGGCTTTGATAACTTATTGGATCAGAGTACAAGAGCATCAATAAAACGGAGTTATAAGGGGTACTAAAAACATCAGTCAGTCAGTTTCTATGACCGATGTTCCTTTCAGATTGCAGAGACAGCAACTTCAGATTGTGTATCTAACGTTCTCGATCATGTTCCAGGGTTTAGGCTTCAGCGGAAGAAATTCTGAGTGAGGAGCAGGGACTTCCAGACAGTTGCTCCAGGTTATTCTTGGCCGTACGAGGATCTTTGGCCTGTCGGTCAAGCAGGTAGTGGCTGTTTTGCCTCCCTTGCTAGATAAATTTTCGAAACGAAACCAAACTATAGCAACCGTGACTTCTCAATCTAGAGAAGCAACGACAGTGCGCCAACTCTTTCTCGATTATTAGAACTCTGGACTCTTTCGAAAATTATGAACCCAGTGATTCGTCTCAGAAGGTTCATTTCAGCCGTTCGTACACCGGATTATGAGTGACTAACGACTGATGACCATGGACGAGCAGAGTGAGAAAAATCGACTTGAAGTCTTACAGTTTCCTCCTCAAACTCAGTCTTGCCTTAGTCACAATATTTCGGTTAGTTCACAATGCATAAGAGCATCATGAACAACTTAAAGTATGGACATGAGTTGCGGATCCGTTTTGACATCAGATTCTAAAGGCAAAGAAGATACCATTAGTTGTAACAGGCTTC